ATGAGAAGTGCCTGTATACCTTGTAAAAAAAATTCCCAGGCCCCATCCAGTCTGATGAATTAGAACCCCCAGGAGTTATATTATTTAAAAGCCCTCTCCCCACCCCTGGGATAGTGGTGATGAGCCAGGTGGAGACCTTGGGTTCCTCTAGTCCCTCCCTGCACAGGCACCATCCCTGGGAAGCTGGTTTCTGCTGAACACAGCCCACCCCTCTACCCAGCAGGTCTTCTCTCCTCTGTAAAGCCTGTCCCCCCCCCCCCCATTCTGGTTCTTTGATATTTTCCTTTCCATGAAGCACTTATGAGTATCACTTATCTAAGGATCACAGAATTTTAAATCTGAAGGTATCTTACAAATCATCCGATTCACCTCCCTCTTTTTACATTGTTCTGACCTCATCTTACTTCTCCACACCCCCACTCCCTGACTGCCCCTCTTCTGTTCCTCAGATGCCAGGCATGCTCTGGACCCAAGGGCCTTTATATTTGCTTTCTTTCTACCCTCTGGGAGCCACCTGACCTTCTCTCTTCCTTCATTTAGGTCTCTGGCTTATTCATTGCCATGAATTGAATTGTGTCCCCAAAAAAGATATGTTGAAGTTCTGACCCTTGGTGCCTTGTGAATTTGACCTTGTTTGGAAGTAGGGTCATTGCAGATGTAATTAGTTAACATGAGATCATAATGTAACAGGTGGGTCCTAATCCAATGTGACTTTGAGGAGACAGACAGATGCAGAAGAAGACAGCCATAGCCATGTGATGACAGAAGCAGAGATTGAAGTTACTGCCACAAACCAAGGAACGCCTGGGGCTATTAGAAGCTGGAAGAGACAAGGAAGGATCTTCCCCTAGAGGTGACAAAGAGAGAGAGCACGGTCTTGCTAATACCATAAATTCAGTCTTCTAGCCTCCAGAACCCTAAGAGACCCTACATTTTTGTTGTTTTAAGCTACTCAATTTTTGGTACTTTGTTACCCCAGCCCTAGGAAACTAACACAGTCAGTTACTCTATCAGAGAGGCCTTCTTTGACCTCACTCAAACCCCATCACTTTCTATCCCCCTTAACTCAAACTCACTGCCATTGAGTGGATTCCAAATCACAGCCACCCCCTTTGGGTTTCCAAGGCGGTAAATTTTTATGGAAGTAGATTGCCCCATCTTCCTTCTGAGGAGCGGTTGGTGGGTTTGAACTGCCAACCTTCTTGTTTGCAGTCAAATGCCTTAGGCCCCATGCCACCAGAGCTCCATCTCCCTCCCTTAGCCTACTTTATTTTTCTTCATAGCCCTTACTGTCTACTCACAAGCAGCTCTGGTGGCATAGTGCCTAAGGCACTTCAGTGCTAACCAGAAGGCTGACAGTTCAAACCCACCAGCCACTACTTAGAAGGAAGATTGGGTAATCTACTTCTGTAGAGATACTGCCTCAGAAACCCAAGGAAGGGTCGCTATGAGTCAGATCAACTCAACGGCAGGCAGTGAGTTCTTTCTTTCTTTTTTTTTTTTTATCTCCTCACATATTATATATTTATTTGCTATTTTCTGAGTCCCATCAGGAGAGGGTAAGTTCAAGGAGGGTAGGTCACTCCTGCATACCCAGTGCCTGGAACGGAGCTTGTACATTAGTGGGGGCTCAATTAATATTTATAGAACGAATGATAAAACAATTCGAAACAGAGCAGGGGCTCAAACTCAGGATATTGTTTCTCACTCCAGTGCTCTTTCTCACACCCAGTGCTCCTCCTACCTCAGTGACTCAACATTTAGTCAGATGCTGCTTCCCATTAAACCAGCTGCATTGTATCAATTCCGACTCATGGCTACTCCATGTGTGTCAGAGCAGAACTGTGTTGTATAGGTTTTTTTTTTAAATAATAATTTTATTGTGTTTAAGGTTAAAGTTTATACAGGAAATTAGGTTCTCATTTAACAATTTCTACACAAATTATTCAGTGATAATTGATGACATTTTTCATAATATTGATTATTCTCATTCATTCCATTCTGGTTATACCATGTCTAAATTCATAGGGTTTCAATGGCTGATCTTTTAGGAGTAGTTTTCCAGGCTTTCTTCCAAGGCACCTTGGGTGGACTTGAATCATTAACCTTTCGGTTAGCAGCCAGGTTCATTAGCTATTTGTACCACCCAGAGACTCCTATCTTCCTATACTCTCTGATTATTCTCCCAGATTTCTCTGGTTAGGAGCCCTGGTGGCACAGTTGTTAAAGCACTCAGCTGAGAACTGAAAGGTCAGTAGTTCAAATCCACCAGCCACTCCCTGGAAGAACAATATGGCAGTCTGCTTCCATAAAGATTACAGCCTTGGAAATGCTATGGACAGTTCTAGTCTGTCTTATAGGGTCGCTATGAGTCAGAATCAACTTGATGGCAGTGGGTTTGTTTGATTCTGGTTTCTCTGATTACTTCTCATGCTTTGAATGCACCTGCTGTGCTGTGACCAGAGGTTATGGGTGCCGGGGGAGAGGAGCCAATTCAGAATGTTTGCAAGAGTGGGAAGGAAAAGCCATTTTTTCATCTTTGTCAGAAAATTTACCCTTGTGAGATTGAAGAAGAAGGCAGAACCAGTGGGTCTTTTACTGATGGAAGCATGAGGGTGAAGACAGAAAGATGTTGGTGAGGCCCCCAGAGGCTCAGAGCAGTGTTCATGGTTTTAAGAAGGAAGAGGAACTGTGGGCAATGACTGGCCCTTGAAGGGCAGGAGAGGCAATTGCAGTTTGTTTTCCTCCAAAAGATCCCTGGACGAAGTGTCCAGTTTCCTGAGACTCAGCCTCTAAGACCAAGCTGGGCTGAGTGCTGGGATCGAATGCTTAACTGCTTGCAGGAGGATAAAGAACCTCCTTATTTCTTTATGTTAATTGTAGTAGAATAATTTGGAAAAAACGAGAATGGTTGTATAACTTAAAGAATATAATCAATGTCACTAAATTTATATGTGTAGAAATTCTTGAATTGTGAATATTTTCATTACACACATACACACAAAAAACAACACAAAACCCTCCCTATTACTTGGTGTCCAAGGGACTTGTAAATAGCAGTCTGGTGGCAGTCATTCTCCTTGTTCAGGACCGCCCTGTCTTTTGAGCTTCAGAGCAGATGGTTAGAGAAACCTGGTCACAGAGCCATGCGCATCCACCAACATCAATGTCCCAGCCCTCTCCCAGCCCAGTATGCCCCAGATCAGACAGACCTGCTCTGCCTTTCTGCTCTATGTGAGGGTTTGGCTCCTTTCCAGTCCTCCCCACTCCCTTATCCCAGATGTCCCTGTCCACCTACATAACTGACCCAGTTAGGCCATCAAGCTTCAATCATAGCCTCAGAGGTTTTGGGTGAGAAGATTTTCCTTCCACTGTTAGATGGGTGTAACAGAGGTCACCTCATGAGATTGTTAAGATGGCTAAAGATGTAAACACCATTGCATGCACATATTGCATCTTGATTACTCTTGAACACTCCAGCCTTTGAACTTCCCAATCTACTTGGTTCAAATCTATATTTGGCATCATCTGTGGTTATTTCAGGACTATCTATCTAGTCCCCACTGGACCCAAATCTCCAGCTCCTTGATAGCAAGATTCACATCTTATTCTTTTGTATCATCATTGCACTGAACTACCTTTTGGGCAAAATGGTACTAGAAGGCAGGGGTGGGGGTGGGGGTAAGGGTTCTGTTGGAAGAACTAGAAATGCTTAGCAGGAAGTGAGTAGAGGTGAGAGGGGCAGTTGGGGATGGGGAAGAAAGTACGAATGAGTCTCTGGAGAGACAGGAGGCCCAGGATACTTTTGTGGAGGAAACAAGGACTCAACGCTACTGCACAGTGTGGTTCCTGGAACAGCCCAACTGAGCAGGGAATTTACAGAGATCTCTAGCCTAGTGCTTGTCCCACCTCTCCATAAGCCCTCCTGTGAACGTGATACTCTTGAGGGTGGTTGAGAGGCTGGAGCTTCTGTGTTTCCTTCATTTCCCAAGAATTTACCACCACTAGTTCCTCTTCACTCACTCTTTCCACACATTGGCCTCAACTAGATCTCAGGGGTTCCCACCCCCAAGAGGAGACGCTTGAAGGCTGACCACATGCTGTTGTTGTTGTTGTTATGTGCTGTCGAGTAGGCCTGACTCACCCCTTCTTGGGTTTCCGAGGCAGTATCACTACAGAAGTAGGATTGCCCAACCTTCCTTCCGAGGAGTGGCTGGTGGGTTTGAACTGCCAGCCTTCTGGTTAGCAGTCAAGTGCTTTAGCCACTATGCTACCAGAGCTCCCCGGCCACATGCTAGCATTCCTAAATCCAATGCCAGCCTGTCCTGAGGCCTGTGGGGCAGCCTGAAGGATAATGCTGCTGAGACTTGGTGGGGGGAAGTCTTGGATTTGATTCCTTTCCCCACCCTCTGGCCAGAGTTCTGCGCCCTTGGGGTTTTGTTTGTTGATTTGTTTTTAGGGAAAGAGGAAGAGGCCTCTTTCATGGTAAGCCCCCCTCAGACTTACACATCTCCCTTTTATGCTGGCTTCCATCTGTAAAGAGGAGGCGGCTTCAGGCCAGTTAATTGCTCATTAAAGAGAGTTAATGAGCTTCCCTTAGCCCCATCCCTGGGAATGAGCTCCAGAGCCACTCTCAAGAGTATGTTTACAGGAGGGCTGTGGAGAGGTGGGAAAAGCACTGGGCTAGAGACCTGAACCAATCCCTGTCTAAATTCCCTGCTCAGTTGGAGTGTTCCCCAGCAAGGTTTCCCTACTTCTTTCTGCTCTAGCTCGTGAAGAGGTAGGTCTCTCTCTCCCAGATCAGCTCCTCTCTGCCCTCTAGTTGGGGGTCAAGTCCTAGACAGGGTCCCAGTAGGTCTGACTGGATTCCATATAACCAGCAGGTTCTGGGTGTGTCCAATCCCTTGGCAACCAGTGTTCCTCATCCTCCCATGACCTCTTGCCCATCACACCATCTCCCTACCTCCACCCCACCTGCCCCACCTTGCCCAAGCACTTACAACTTCTCCAGCAGAGAGAGTCCCAAGAAGGATCCATTCCGGAGCCCTGTGATCTTGTTGTTGCTCAAGAGCCTGAAGGGACAGGGAGAACACAAGCACGAGAAAGTGCTGTTACAGGCTGAGAAGCCAGTTTCTTCACTAGAGCCATGTTGCATTCCCTGTAAGTGGCTCCCCCTGGAGTTGTGCAATACACAGACCCACTCTCTGCTCTAGATTATAGGGAGGAGCCAGGGAATGGTCCAGACAGATTGGTCAGCCTGCTAACCCTCAAGTCAGACAGTTCACCTGCCCTGAGTCTCCCTATGGCCTGGATCTGACTTGTGGCTCATTGTACAGGTGGGCTGAGCAGTAAGTGAAGTTGTCATGCCTTCTTTCCACCTTGGAACTATAGGGCAGACTCCAGGGTTACCCCTTTATGACCTCCACAGTTCTGTGCTTGTATAGACCTGTAGCCAAACCCCTAGGGATAGGGAAGAAGATGGATCCCTTGAGGATAGTGGGGAAGATGGCCTGAATTGGGTCAGGTGAAACAGGATTCATCTGAATTGGCTTCAGATGGAACAGGAAGCCCAGCAGGTCTAGGTACAGATAGGAAGAGATGTTCTTCCTTGGGGTCCACATATTCTCTACTTTGAACTCAGGGCCTCACTGGAAGGTGACCTCTCTCAGACCTCAAAAGCTGGCAACTTAGACGGCTGTATCACATCCTTGCCTCCTCAAGCCCATCTGCAGCCTTGGCAGAAAGCTGGTAGAGCCCTGGGCCTATGGGGAAGCCCAGGTCCCAGCCTTCGCCTCTGCTCCCTCAGAGTTCTGTATTTGTATTTAGTTCATTTGTATTTAGTGGAGAAGGGAAGAGGCCCCAAGCAGACTGTGCCTCTCCACCCACCCACTCAGCCTTCCTCTGCCAGACTCCCTGCTGGGAGGAGGGGAGTTCCAGGCCCAAAGGGCTCATCCCTCCAGTTAATTGCTTATTAAAAAGCTTTAATGAATCTCCCAGCCCAAGCTCTCTTCTGCCCTGGGTTGAGGTGAAGGCCTTCCCTTCTTTTCTCTGCTTTTATTGAGAACTGGCTTGGGAAACCAGAGGTTCAGGCTTCTCTCCAGTGGGCAGCCTCTGGGCTGGACTAGAAGGGAGAGAGAAGAGGGTAGGGTCCAGAATGAGAAGAGCTACAAAAAAGAGGTCTGCTTCACCCAGCAATTCCACTCCTAAGTATATTCCCCAAAGACTTGAAAGCAGGGATGCAAACAGGTACTTGTACAAGAATGTTTATAGCAGCACTGTTCTCAATAGCCACAAGATGGAAACAACTCAAGTGTCCACCAACAGATGAATGAATAAACAAAATGTGGTACATATACTGCATACAATGGAATATTACTCAACCATAAAGAGAAATGAACTTCTTCTAATCCATGCTACAACACGAATGAACCTTGAAAACATTATGCTGAGTGAAATAAGTCTGACACAAAAGGATTAAAATTGTATGACCTTCTTATATAAAATATCTAGAATAGGCAAATACATAGAGACAGAAGTTGATTAGTGGTTACCAAGAGCTGGGAGGAGGGGGCAGAGGAGTTAGTGCTCAAGCAGTACTGAGTTTCTATTTGGAACCATGAAAAACTATTGAAAGTGGATAGTGTTGATGACTGCACAACACAATGAATGTAATTAATGTTACTCAATCAAATACTTTAAAACAGTTAAGATGACAAATGTTTTATCACCACCCACTACCCCCCCCCCGAAAAAAGGGAGAAAGAGACAGAGATCTACCCCAAGGCCTACAGGATATTGATGGGTGACAACCAAGAGGGGAAGTAAGAGTACCCCAAACGTCAGATATTCCAGCTACTCCATCTTCAAGAGGCTGTGGGGAACAGACAGAGGCCAGGATGGAAGCAAGAGTGGAAGGGAGACTTTGGCTTTCTGGGTCAATGGGAAGGGGTGGAGACTTCATCTCCTTCTTCCTTTTCTCCCCCCTCCAGTTAGACTCCTTCCTATCCTCTCTTCCTGTCCCTGCCGAATGGTCCTTCCAACAGTGAGGTTTCCCAGCACGGCCTGAGGGTGACTATAAGAAAGGGTTGAGGGGGGAATGCTGGATTTCCAAAATACTTCACATACATACAGATTTCAAAAACACATCAGAGTAGTCATCATAAAAAAAGGCCCTGGTGGCACAGTGGTTATACACTCAGGTGCTAACCAAATGGCTCAAACCAGCTGCTCTGCAGGAAAAAATTGTGGCAGTCTGCTTCTGTAAAGATTTAAGCCTTGGAAACTCTATGGGGGCAGTTCTACTCTGTTCTATAGGGTTTCTATGAGTCAGAATTAACTCGATGGCAATGGGTTTTTTCAGTCATTGTAAGAAAGATTAGAACTTTTTTGAACTTCTTTATTCTCATTTTGTGGATTAGGATTGTTTTATTTCATGTTACACATGGGTGGTGGTGGTTGTTGTTGTTATGTGCCGTTGAGTCGGAACCAACTCATAGCGACCCCTCCTTGGGTTTCTGAGGCAGTATCACTGTCGAAGTAGATCGCTCAACCTTCCTTCCGAGGAGTGACTGGTGGGTTTGAACCACTAGCTTTCTGGTTAGCAGTCAAATGCCTTAGCCACTATGCTACCAGAGCTCCTTGGGTAGTGGTGGTGGTGGAGTTAAATGATAATATCGTCAGTTCTTAGGGCCTGTAAAGGTCTCACTCAGGCCCTGGTGGGTCTTGATGATGACCTCAGTGGTGATGAGCTCTCAGTGATGTATATTACCAAACCAAACCCACTGCCATCGAGTGGATTCCGACTCACAGAGACCTCCATTGCATTTCTGAGGCAGTAAATCTTTATGTAAGTAGGTTACCCTGTCTTCCTTCCATGCAGTGGCTGGTGGGTCTGAACCACCAACCTTCTGGTTAGCAGTCAAATGCATTAGGCACTATGCTACCAGAGCTTGTTATACTCTGAGGGGGTATGAAGGGAATAAACTTGAGTTCGGGTGAGTCAGTATAGTACCTGACCTTAAATCAAAGCCCATCTCACCCCAACTCCAGTTTATTCGCTTCATACCCTTCAGAGTTTGAGGCTCAGAGGTTCCTTTAATTGTCTGAGAAGGAGAGATGACCCCTCAGTACTCTTAGGAATGTCAGGGGAGGGGTCTAAAATGTTAGGAGAAAGAGTGAAGAAAAGGGATCTATTTCAGCCCCTTACCCACACAGAGGTCTCTCCCAGGGACTGTTTCCTCATGGGTTATGGGTGAAAAAAGACTGGAAATGTTGATGGGGTGGGGTGCATGGGGAGAAGATGGGAATATGGAAGGATAGAAGAACAGGGCTCCCTGATGATCACAGTCCCATCTACAAAGAGGGAAGCCCAGGAACATTAATTTTCAAACTTGAGTAATGTAGGGACCTGTGTCAATGGGAGAAAATAAGAATTATTTTCATATATAAGAATATATCTGAAATATAATTAAATAATAATTTATTTATTAGAAATAATAATAAATAAATATAATATAATGAAGCAATGAAATGTGCAAAGACTTGGAGTTAGAAAACCAAAAGGGAAGAACATGCTCAGCATTTCTCAAGCTGAAAGACCAGAAGAAAAAATTCAAGGCTCCAGTTGCAATACTGAAAGATTCTATGGGCAAAAAATTGAATGACACAGGAAGCATCAAAAGAAGCTGGAAGGAATACACGGAGTCACTGTACTTAAAAGAATTGGTTGATGTTCAGCCATTTTAGGAGGAAGCATATGATCAAGAACCAATGGAACTAAAGAAAGCAGACTAAGTTGCATTGAAGGCATTGGCAAAAAACAAGGCTCTTGGAATTGACACAACACCAACTGAAATGTTTCAACAAATGGATGCAACCCTGGAAGTGCTTACTCATCTATGCCAAGAAATTTGGAAGATAGCTACCTTACCAACTGACTGGAAGAGATCCATATACATGCCTGTTTGCAAAGAAAGGTGATCCAATGGAATGGGGAAATTATCAAACAATGTCATTAATATCACATGCAAGTCAATTATTCTGAAGATAATTCAAAAAATGGTTGTAGTATTACATCATCAGGAAACTGCCAGAAATTCAAGCCGGATTTAGAAGAGGATATAGAATGAGACATCATTGCTGATATCAGATGAACTTTGTCTGAAAACAGAGAATATCAGAAAGATGTTTACCTGTGTTTTATTGACTATGCAAAGGCATTCAACTGTGTGAATCATAACAAATTATGGATAACATTGTAAAAAATGAGAATTCCAGAATACTTAATTGTGCTCATGTGAAACCTGTACATAAACCAAGAGACAGTTGTTCAAACAGAACAAAGGGATACTGCATGGTGTAAAATCAGGAAAAGTGTGTGACAGGGTTGTATCTTTTCACCATACTTATTCAACCTGTATGCTCAGCAAATAACCCAAGAAGCTGGACTATGTGAAGAAGGTTGGAGGAAGACTCATTAACAACCTGCGATATGCAGATGACACAATCTTGCTTGCTGAAAATGAAGATGATTTGACGTACTTAGTGATGAACATCAAAGACTACAGCCTTCAATATGTATTACATCTCAACATAAAGAAAACAAAAAACCTCACAACTGGACCAACAAGCAACATCAGGATAAATGGAGAAAAGATTGAAGTTGACAGGAATTTCATCTTACTTGGATTTACAATCAATGTTCTTCCATGAACAGCAGTCAACAAATCAAACAATTTATTACCCTGGGCAAATCTGCTGCAAAAGACCTCTTTAAAGTGTTTAAAGTGAACAAAGATATCAGTTTCAGGACTCAGGTGTGCCTAACACATGCCATGGTACTTTCAATTGCCTCATATGCACGTGAAAGCTGGACAATGAACAAGAACTGATGCCTTTGAAATACGGTGTTGGCAAAGAATATTGAATATGCCATGGACTTCTGTAAGAAAAAACAAACCTGCCATGGACTTCTGTAAGAAAAAACAAACCTATTAGGAAGAAGTGCAGTCAGAATGCTCCTTAGAGGTGAGAATGGTGAGACTACCTCATGTACTTTGGACATGTTTTCAGG